TTCTGGAAGCAAGCCGTTATGACTTGAGAAATGACTTCAATGCAGTGTCGGTGATTTTTATACCTCTAGATCGGTCACTAAAAGGAAAAAATGGCTTTGTTGATTACCACCTACTCATCATTTTTCTCGCAAGCCATGAGATTTTAAAACGATTTTAGCTGAATCGTTATTCTAAACGAAGACTCAATAAGGCTGTCGTTTAGTCAGGGACAGCCATCCATTCTGGCAGTTTAAAGGAAGAGAGGAACTTGTGGTTTTTGGTAGGCCTAGATTGGCCACCCCTTCAAAAAATGCGGGCGGGAGTCGTAGTTGTGTTAAGGAGATCGTCAGAGTAGGAGTTGGGATTTTTGCAAGTTGATGAAAACCTAACGAAAGGTGCACGAGAATTAGAAAAATCAAAAGCTGCTTTCTGCTTTGCAATCGGGGAGGGAAAATATAGGCAGAACTAAGATGCAGACTGGTATCAGAATATATGCAATTCAAATTGGCAGGCCGGTCAGTTGATGGAGGAGAGGAGACCGGGAGAGAGAGAGGTGGCGGTGATAGGGAGGTCGCATCGGTCGGAATCTTCGGAGAGGGGTTTCAGTACTCCGAAAAAAGGACCTGTAAAGGCAGCGGTGTCCACGCCAGCCAACAAATGGAAAGTTGTTGCGGAGACATCATACAGTTGGAGATATCAGTGTTTCTCCTCCATAGAACAGCATCATTCCATGGATATCAGGGTAAACAATATTCATGAGGTAGTGCACTGTTTTTTTTTCTGATGAGTCATACCTCTCCTAGTAAAGGAAATAATTCATTATAGGATCATCAACACGGTCTGTTGACGTCAGAAGTAATGTGACCATTCGTTTTGATATTGAAGGTGAACTCGAGTGATTGCAAAGATGTTGTTCCGCTATTTCGCTTCCATAATTTTGGTCTGGGTTATGGAGGACAGAACAACAATTGTGACGAGTGGGAGGTGTTAGTATGGAAGGTGGTGAATCGTGCCGTCGCCATGGGCTTATCCGTGAAGTGGGTCTCCACTTGTCAGTTGAGCCCTGAACACCTAAAGGCGGATTTAGCGATGAAAAAGACATAATGGAAATTGAATTAGAGATGGTCAGTAATGCAAAAAGAAGTAAAAAACCAAGAAAAGATCCGCAGATTCAAGTTTTTGGGAAATTTGCAGGTGGAACTATAATTATGCGTCGCAGTGTATATATAATTCGCTAAGTATGTCTGTGTGTGTGCGTTTAGGTCTGTGTGTGTTTGTCACGAAATTCGTTGCGCACGTACAGCAGTCACCTGGAGTTATTTCGGGACGGGAACATTGGTGGGGGATAAAAAGGGATAACTGCTGATAAGATGTGACAAGGGGCTTTAGAACGCGGATGTCACGAAATGCTGGAGCGCGTGAGGCATTGTCTTTTCATATGTTGTAAGAGGTGAGACTCGAGCATACTTGGTGGGGACCAGAAAGTGATATGTGATAGTGATAACTGACTAGAAGCGTTGGAAGGAAAATGCCACGACATTTACAGAGGCCCTGCAGCACTGAGGATTTTTTGCAGAATCGATTGGGGAACAGATCAAAAAGTGATAACAGCTGATAGGAGCTGATAATGAAGCGTTGGAAGGAAAATGTCACGACATTGACAGCGCAAGGCCCAGCAGCATTGAGGCGTTGTTTTGCAGATATGATATAGGGGGTGGGACGGGAACATATTTGATGGGGACCAGAAAGTGATAACAGCTGATAGGGCTGATAAGAGCGTTGGAAGGCGAATGTCGCTAGATTTCCATCCAGATGCGCGATAAGAAAAAATCTCATTTCGATTTAGCGCAGATTAGCGGTCGAGTGGATCGCGACGTCGTCGTGATCCACTCGACCGCTAATCTGCCCCAGCTTCTTAAATGGTTGCGCCTGTGTTGATATGCTAACTAAAATATGATAACTACCAGTTTAGCTCCGCACGCTACCGCGCACGTGACACGGTGGGCTTTGTTGAAATTGGACAGTCTGCCGAACGTCATGTCCCACCGCATCCTTCCTTTTTGCTGAAGCTCACCGTTAGATACGCGCCATAGAGTATCTTTCTATCATATAAACCGCTAACTTGGTGTGTCGGTTTGTAGGTGGTTGTGTGATTTTTATGCGTGTATGTATGTAT